TCCCATACCCCACTGAGGGGGATGGAGGGCCCCCTTTTGATGAATCAGACAGCAGTCATCATCCTCCTTCCTCACCACCCCCATTGGCTTCAGTGCAGCTCCTCCTGATTTACACCCCTGACCATCACAATAATCTCCAGCCCTCTGTCCCCGGCAGTCATTTTCACTGGGGGCACCCATATAACAGCTTGTCTTGGCCAGATGCTGTAGCCAGGTTAATGGCATATCAGGAGGGATTCATAATAAAACATCACTTAAACTGATTTAATTTATTTTTAACAATGTGCTTATTCTGCCACATTCATCCTTTCATTTCTCTGACAAAAGCTAAATGTTGGGCCTAACACTAGCTGAATGCCCCTTTAAAAAATCAGATTTCAATCTAGAGATATATCAGTAGTAAGAAAGCTTCCTGGTGTTAATTTTAAAGCACTGGTGTTTCATGCTGACTTGGGAAATCATCCTTGGTTTTTGGCATCAGGCGGAGGATTTGGAAAGTGACATTAACAGGTCTACTTTCTTTGAAGGACTTGGGAGTCATTTCTTGACTTCCGCCTAATGAATAAGTGCTGCCTTCGTTAGATTTATATTTATGGCCATATAGTAGGTCATTGGCTTGTTTTATGTCTCCAGCTTTATGGAAGGTTATCTGCCATGGTCACCTTGTGACATCTTGGCCAGGATTGTCTTGCGAAGAGACAATTGTATCTAAGCAGTATTTTCCCCATGGAGATATGGAAATTACCAAATTAATATAGAGGCGATATCAAGGGATAAGGCTCTTGCACTGAGCTGCCAAATGAAGTTCCTATTAGCATCTCTTTTCACAGTACACCTTTAGTTTGCCCTGGCAAGGCCAGATTTTCAGCTTCTGCAAAGCAGCAAGGCTACATGGATTTCAGTGGGGCTGACATGATGGATCATTGTCTTCTGACCTCTCAGGAACCTCTCTAGTTCTTTCTCCTCACCAGCTGATCCTCAGTGTGTACATTACATCATGTTTAATCTCCTAAACGTCTGTATGTTGGACATAAGATCTCCATGAATCTGACCACAAGGAAAGCTATTTCGAATGTTGCCTATGGGTGCATTTCACAGATATCCAAGGTCTTTTGATGATTTTAGGACTTAGCGGCACACTACTTTTGGTCCAGAAGCCCCTTTAAGGTGCTTTATAATATCCATGTCCCTCATCTGATTTCTCCTATATCCCTATAGCTCTTACCAGCCCTTACTCATCTATATATCTCCTGGGCCACAGTGGGTTTACACGCTGGCACTGACAGCATGCAGAGGAGCTGAGGTCTGTTCACAGCCTCATATGCCCATGTTCAGCTAATATTTGCAGCAACAGAGGAGACTGGCCAGCTGGATAGGGAGAAGGGGTGTCTGAGACAGGGTAACTCTCCTACCTTAGCAGAGCATGAGCTGTGTGAAGGTCACAGGGGTGCACACCCTATTAAGTATATCTTATGGAGGAATAAATCAACCTTCCCTCACGGTCTCCTTGCACTGAGACACAGAAATCTTTCATATCTCCCCATCACTTTGAATTTTAGCACGTGGTGTGTTCCAGCCTGCAGTCACACGTAACTCCTGGGACAGGTTTGCTCTGGATTGTGAGCCCCTCGTACAGCTGAGCCCTTGCTGAACTTCTCATGGGTCATTAGTATGTGGGACGGCTGTCACTTTACTGAATGCAGCATGGCCAAAACTTCCTCAAATGTCTAATCTGCATCTTGAGATTTCTGGATCAGTACTGGTCATTGGCTTCATTCACACTACAGTTGGGAGCACAGGCATTTATGCCCTTCACTAGGTTTAATTCATCTGGCAGAGTGAGCAGCAGCATAAAGATATGTGCAGGGCTGCCCAAGCTAGCTTGGCCTTGTGCCGGGATATCTAGCAGGCCCTGGAGTCTGTGTCCCTGCATCTTCTTCATAGGCCCTGCTGGCCAGCATGGTCATACCCACTGTACTGAAGTCACATCTTCATTTGCCGAGTAAACACACTATTTGAGCTGAGGAAGACGAGGTCTTCAGTGAGAAAGGTCATCACTTTTGTTTTTACGAGCTACCAAGTTAAATTCCAGAAGGCCTTGACTCACCACAGCTGCTTTTCTCAAGCAGCCAAGGTGGGGTATGAGGCTACAAGTGAAGCACAGAGCTCCAAGCCAGGGCTTGCTGCCTTCCCATGCTGTCTAGTCCCACAACCCAGAGATGCTTTCATCGCAGTCCTTTTCAAGAGCATCCAGGGATGACTGGGTCATTGTTAGGGTCCTGTGTGTTAGACCAGACGCTTTGCATCTTTACCTATGAGTGATTCCCAGCTTGGAGCAAAGCTGACTGAAATAAGGGAAGTCTTCCCACTGGCTTGCGTGTGCTGTGAGCCAGGAGGGAATTTTCTGTGTGATCTGGGGTACAAGGCAGCCTCCTGAGAAAGAAACAACTGGTTAGGTACTACCCTTGCTGACAAGTCATTAAGACTCGGGAAAATAATGAACTCTAAAAGCTTCGTATGGGAGGGAAAAAGTCTGCTTTTAAGGGCCTGTTGTCCCAAACCCTTTAAATAAATCATTTGTCCAGTTTTAATATTTAATCTTAAAGGTGAACCATGATTTTCAGTGTATTTTTCCTAAGCAGAATGGCTTAATTATGAAGGGCAGAATATGGCTCCAAAGGCAGGTGAGATACCCACAGATGGGGTAAGGAGAGCAGCTCTGCAGTGAGCGAGGTCGTCCTGTGCAGGACACAGACTCAGCTACAGGTGGGAAAGTTGGCAGTTCCCACGTGTGCCTAGCTAAGGTAAGGAATAAAGGAAAGGACCACAATCAAACAGGTACTGCTCAGTGCCTTCTCCCATATCAAAGAAGAGATGAGTCCTGCCTCAGCTGGAGAGGAAGGAAACGCTGTATCTCCTGAGCAGCAGAGTCAATTTATTTTTCTAGCTCTGTAAACAGATGAGTGCAAACAAGGAAGGGCAGTTGCCTTTGGGGCAGACACAGTAGATCATCTCCTTTACTGCAGACTGCAAAACCATACTTGTCTTATAAAGATTTGCTCCATTTATCCTATGTCCCCTCACCTTCCTCAGGAGATATCTTCAACCTGACGGGACTTGGTCATTTTGGGGGGGTCCAAGAAATTATAATCTATTCTCCCAAAGGGGTGTGGGAACCGGTGTATCACTCAACCTTTCATAGCTGTTCAGTTTTGTTCTGCAGCAATACGTTCAACATTCTGTTTTCAGAGGAAAACTGTTTTGAGCAGAGGTTAAAAAAACAGACTTGAGATGCTTCCTTCTTCAAGAAGGCAGGAATAACTGGAAACTGTTCTTATATTTTCCAAGCACTTCCTCCAGTTTCCAGGAGCATCTACTCTTTAAAAAATATAGGTTTGCATCTCTACTAAGCCTTCCACTGATCTCCCACAGTTTTTAATGTATTCTCCTCAGACCCCTTTTCAAGGGGTGAAAATCCTTGCCATAGTGCAGTGCTTTCCCATTTCACATATTTCCCATTTCACATATTGAGGGACCTGCCAAAAGCCAGCTAGGAAATCAACCAAACAAATTCCAATCGAAGACTGCAATCCCGCTTATTTCTTCCTGTGACTACCTCCTCCTCAAAGTCCTTGTGATCCAGTAATGCCCACAGTGAACAGGAGCCTCCAAGGCTTAGCCAGCTAATTGGGTTTCTTCCCTCAGAGTCTGGTCTTCTCACCATTCCTCCTTGTATTTTGGGAGATGAGGGCAAGACCCTGCAAGTTTCCATCGTGACCAATGGTGATCTTTGTAAAGTTCAGGCTGGTATTTGCATCTGTAAGAAAACACTTTGTCCGTGTTCCTTGGGTCTGTAACACTCACGTTTGCCAACCTCCCCCACACCTTGGTCAGTGTCTCTCCTCGGGCAGGTCAATGGCACCAGATTTCCTTCTAAGAGGCCCACATCTTTACAACTTCGAAGCTCCTGCTTCCAGCCACACCTCAGTGCTTGTAGGAAGGAAGAAGGTGAGATGGAGGGGGAAAAGTGGCAGCTCTCCAAGGGATCATCCTAAAAGTTTGAAGCCAGAGGGACTGCATAAATGTAGAGCTGTGCAGCACTAATAAATACAAATTAAACTCATAACAAGAAGTGAAATATTAGGGCCAAGGTGACATTTGGACTGGAGGTTCAGCCAAGCTTTGCTTTAAATATTTTATTGCTGCAGATAGAGAAAGAGCTTATCCAACATGATTCTCTGGTTTTTTTCCTATCAACTAAAAGGGAAAAAAATCTTAACTAGCTTTGGTTGTATTTGAGCTAGACTTCAAAGTTTCACAAAAATAAACAGTTTTAGTGGGGAGGAATGTACACTTGTAAAGAGAGAAAATGCACTTTGAAGCCAGCAAGGGACTGCATGCCTTACTCAGAGATTCACAGCATCCTCCCTGGAGCAGCCCAGTGATGTCCCCCTCCCCTCCAAGCAGCATCTCCTCTCACACCAGGGGCTGCCTGGCAGCAGTGCAGTCCTTCGAAGGGATGTTAGGATGGCAGAAGTCACTGCTTTGTTCTCTTCTCCTTCCTCCTGCTATACCCCTGTTGTTTTCTGCTCTGATTGAATGTTTCATGCAACTGTGGCTGTCACTGAGATCTGAGTTTGCACAGCACCTAGCACAGTGTCAGTCCTGGCTTAAGATGAGGGCTCTCTAGGGTTGCCTGCTGCAATGCCAAAAATCTGCATGATCAGATGTGGGCTCCATAATTTAAACATGAGAAAGGAGGGAAGAGGTTTGTTTGCCCTCTGCTACAAAGTCTCACAGGGTGACTGGTGGGGGACAGAGCCTTCCTGACCACCATGGCGGGTTCTGTGCAATGCTGTCTGTAGGGTGAGCAAGTTGCTCCTCTTCTGGGACCCTCAGCCTCTGGGTTTGTCTGTCTCACATTACATACTGATGAAGGAAAAGGAGAGTACCTGTCATTCTTTAATCCTTAATTCCTTCTCTCTCTTATGTCTCCACAGCACAGAGCCCCACTGCAGCAGACCCCTTGCAGCAAGCCTACGCAGGAGTGCAGCAGTACGCAGGTCGTTAGTATTAACACTTTCTCCCAATAAACCTTTCTCTTCCCTAAAGCCTTTAATCTCTGAACACACCAGAAGGGGTTGGGGGAATGGAGGTGTTTGCTGATACAGGGGCAAGCTGGGGGCCAGAGACAGACTAAATTTGCACTTCTTGTAAAAACAAGCTTAAACCCCAGGGTCTTCTCTCCCTAAGGAGGCAACCTCCTTGCTTTCCACAGGGAAAGGCTCCCACTGACCTGTACCTCAGTGCAGCTTCTTTGTCAGGACCGGGTCTGGTCTGCTCAGCACAGCACATAAGTGCAGATTCAGGGGGTCGCTTTCTGCAGCAGGTCTCCTGAGTGGTGCAGCGAGGAGGGGAGATACATAACCAGACCCTGCAGAGCCTGTCAGTGTCTGGAATGTCTGCACACATTCATATTTTAGGTTATGTCTACCCTGACCATACCCCAACTAGTCAGTTTGAGGCTTGCTTAGGAGCTACACGAACATACTCCTGGCTTCTCAGCAGCTTTCTCCACGGGTCCCAACGGGTCTGCCTCCACTTGCATTGCCCTGTATGCTGAGCAGCTCCTTTTACAGTTGATAGACTGACATCAACCAAAGTGACCTGGTGCAGACCACGACCCCGCCATGTTCAGCCTCCCCTCGCCAGGTGTCCATGGCCAATATTGTGAGGAAGCTGCCACCTCAAAGCCATTATTTCCTGTGGTAACTAGAGCAACCATGGGTTCCCACTGAGGAATGGCTGTTATCTCATGTCAGCGCGGTAACTGGAAATTTAATTTAATTCTCCATGTAGGACTTCATTTGCTGGTGTTTTAGTTATTGTCACTTATCACTTGTGAGGTTTGATAGATGGGAAGCAGCTCAACCCTTTGAGCTGTTAATTAACCCCCCTGCACACACATGGCCCCTATCCCCCTCTCCCTGGGCTCACAGGTGACCCATACTCTGTATTTTTAGCAGCAAGGCACATCTTTTTACCATCTGTGGTACTGAATGGCTCCCCTTGTCTGCTTGGTGGGGAAGCCGAGATGGGGAAAATTGTTTAACTGCTGCACACTGTTTCCACTGTGTTTGTGTGAGAGAGAGGAAGTCCATACAGACGTGAAAGAAAATATATGTCTGATAGCGTACCTGCAACTGTGCCTATACTGTGTGTGGGCGTACGAAGGTTAGAGTAACAGAGAAAACATACCTGTGAACTGTTTTAATTAGCATGTGAATTAATCAGGGTGAAAGAGAGAGATTACACGGGGAAACGTGTTCTGTGCGTGGCTGTCAGCATGGACATCAATGTTTTGAGCTTGTGAATGAATGTGTTTGTGGTACCATCCGGGATCGTTAAGCATCTCTGCTGGGAGAAATCTCAGTGGAGACCCCCACTTACACTGCATGGCTGTCCGCAGCGTTACTGCTGAGGAAGCTAAAGAGAGGGTGGGTGCTCAGGATCACATGGCACCTCCTTGAGTACCACTGTGGTGCTTCTGTCATGTCACAGACTGCATGAGAAGGCCCATCACGGAGCCAAAATGCAGGGGGAAAGCCCACCTCTAGCTTGGCATGATGTTTTTGAGTGAAAGTCCCTTGCTTCCCAGCACTGAAATCTGTCCCTCTTTCTTCTCTCTCTTTCTGTCCCCTATAGCCGCTTATCCTGCTGCTTATGGCCAGATTAGCCAAGCGTTCCCACAGCCACCTCCCATGATCCCACAGCAACAGAGAGAAGGTGAGTAAATGGGCCATCCTCCTTTCTGGTGCCAGCACACCATTCCCATCACAGTGGTTCCCATACTCAGACACATAGAGAATACCCATTAAACACCCGATTGCTTTGAATGCCTGGTACACTGAGTCTTTTCTCCACTTCCTTGAGTGGCATGGCATCACTGGCACTAACAGTAATACATGGAACATCCTCATGGGGAGTCACTGCTGAGGTCTCCTCAGTCCCCAGGGAGGGAGCATGCTGATGTGCATGGGCCATGGAAAGACCTGGTAGCAACATAGGCAATAGTGTCCAGTGGGGGTCTCGGTTCAAGACAAGCAACAAGAATGCGGATAAAAATGCAACTACATTGTAATAAAGAATTAATAGGAAACAAAGCACTGGTGGCCCGTCATTAGAAACCAGTAATGTGATTTCAGACACCTGCTATTTAGAGACAAGGACCTGCTATTTAGAGGAGCTAATCTAGTTCTTTCAGCCTCCTTTGGTAATCTGGAAACAGAAATCAGCCCTTTTAGAGCACAATCTCTTTATCAGGATGAGATGAATCATGTAGCAAAAGTACCTATTTCTTAACATCGACGATGAAAGGAGCCTGGGTTATGTAGTCCTCATGACTGGACATCTGCACTGGAAATATGAACAGTAAGGAGAGGTGAATCTCCCACTATTGTATGTAAAAGTTTTGGGAGGCAACCATGCCATGTCATGTTCCCCTTACAGTCAGTGGGGAGCAGTGGGATCCTCATAGGTAGCCCACTCACGTAGTCCCAGCCATCCACCAAGGAGTCTGTTGCTCCCTTTTGACAAGAAGAAAAGACTGCTTGCTTAAGTGAGGCATTTAGGTCAGGTGCTTCAGCTTAGTCTAGAGACCCTCATTTTAAATAATTACATTTCAACTTTTATCCTCTATTAGATCACTAATTCAGATACATTCTATGTTACACGTGTTATTATATATATATAATGTCATTTAATATTTTAATATAGTGTAACTGTCAGTATGAAATGAATCAAGATTACACTATCAAACTAAAATGTTCTGATGGCCTAGAACTACTTTGGGGGAGAGATCTCAATTTGTAAGAAAATTAGAAATGTCGACATTTCGATTTAATTTGGAATTAATTTTTTTCCAACGTCAGAATTTCCTGGGGAACACAACTTTCAGCTCCTGATTAGCTCTAGTACATGTCCCTGCTGTGAGAACAGATGCACAGACCTAACATATCATTACAGAGATGTTTCCCCCATGCTGAAGGACTTTGCTTTTTATTGCTTTACTGGGGCTAGATTAAGCATAGGACAAAATGGCGAGCAGATCATTGCTCAGCATAGCATTCTGCCAGGAGTCATCATAAACAAGGGACTGCTATTGCACATACATTGAAGACCCACTCTCCAAAGCCCCCTGTTTTTGCAAGGCATGCTGTGTGTCTGTGTGTTGAGGGTGGGTGCCACCCAGTGAACTCATAACTTCTCACTCCTTCCTGTAAGCAGCTGGAATGTTGTATGGCATCCTGTAAGCAGAGGATGGTTGGGGGCCAGATAGATGAGATGAATCACCAGTCTGATGCAGGTTGCCATTCCCAGTGTTCTCTGTTTTCCTGCAGTATCTAGAAGTTGTGGCTTTCTCTGCTGCTTGCTAGATGGAGAATCTCTAAGGCATGACACTCCCTTTTAGCAGAGGGTCAAGACCTTTAAGCTTCTCTAACCTTTAACAGGAAAACACAGCAAGAGGGAACTCTAGTAATAGTAATGCTCAGTGCTGAGAAGAGTACTTCATGTTTGCAAGGATGTGCACAAACATAGATCTTTAAGGTCCTTTCCAACCTAAACCATTCTATGATTCCATGGTTCTATGATTGTTAATAGCAAGGTTACCTCTCTGATCCTGGATCCCGGACGGATACCAAGCGCAGAGCCCCTTGGCTCATACAGTGTTCCTATGGAGATTAGTCATTGCTTCTACAGGAGCACTGAGGCTGCCAGCAGCTGGTGGGGTTCATAGGGTAGAACAAATCCAAAATTACCAAACCTAGAGATGAAGTCAAAACTTGGGGGTAATTTTAAATTTATATGGAGTTGCTCATCTTGATGTAGTTTCTGAAACTCAGAAGTACAGTTAGAGGTTAAAGTAAGGCGGTGCAGGCTTATGGCTCTCATCTGCCCTGTGCTCAAACAAGCTGGCGACCGAACAGCAAGCAGATACAGAAGAGAAAATAAAGTTCCAGCCTCTGAGTATTTACTAGAGAAGCGAGGTGTGCAGCTGACCAAAGGACTGCAGGCTAGCTTCGAACAACGTTACGAGACAGCCCATTTTTAATTACTGTTGCAAGAGCAGTCTGGTCATAGTCTTTCCTTAAGACACTGACTCATGGTGTTGGAAATGCAGTGACAGACAGCTGATGTCAGCTCAGGTTTGTGGAGTTTATTCGTGTTGGAAGTGAACACTCAGGGATATGTCAGTCTGCTGCTGACCCACACTAAATAACTGAAAATGAGCTGGAGGGTGAGGGGCATGGGCAGAGCAATGGCTTAGCAGCTCAACTCCAACCAAGCCAAACACGGACCCACTACAGAGTTCTGTAGCACATGCTCCCGTGCCTCAGTCCTGTTCTTTTTTCCGTTATCCATCATGATTTGCCTGTAATTTGCAAACTGTTCACAAACTGTGTGTTCCTTAAATCTTTTCTTCCTTGTTGTCTGAATCAAGGCTCTCTCTGCTTCTTGTGTATTAATGAACAGAAATATCTATGAGTTAAAGCCATAAAACCAAGAGCCACGGTAAATGTCAGGGAAGAAATGAACCTTGATTCTGTTCTCATAATGTGCCATGAGGGTTGGATTTTCAGCTGACTTACAGCCATTTTGAAAACTAAAGTGTGTGGTAAACAATTTTAGCATTGTATTCAGCCCTGAACTGCCAAGCATACTGTTCTCCAATAGCAGAAGCTTTCATAATCCATTAATACAGTTCAAAACAGAACCTTTCTCTCTAGCAAGATAGTTGGAGTCTTCACTGAGGTTTTGCTATGCCAGCTGTGATCTTCCTCTTGCTCCAGTTGTCCTGACCAAGTCCTTTAAAACTCATCACATGTGTGCACTGAAAACTAACTTAGCTTTTCATAACATTCTGAGCTGAACAATTCATGTGTTGTGGTTTCTTAAAAATATGTACGTATATACAAAGAGGTGACCATGCACATAAACACCTGGTCTTCCATGGAGTGCCCAGATTAACTTGACTCAGCTGAAAAAAACCCAACAAGGTAGAAGGGCTGAGACAGAGAGAGCTTGTTTTATGAATTCTTTACCAAGGAGTCTAACTGTGATGATAGGTAACTTACAGATGGATGGATTTAACAAGAAATTACTTGTTAAAATCTAGTGGCAGAATTTTCATATGTGAGGATGGTAAAACAAACCAAACTACCCCAGGTTGTTTCTCGGTAGCAGGTGGAGTTTTCAGTGTTGGAAATTAACAAAAATACTCTGTAGTTGGGAACAGAGTGAGTTTGGCCTTGAATGTCTGAGTTGCTATGGGAAGCCGGAGCATGAATTTCCCAGCTGCATTTCAGAACTGAACTAGCCTTTGAGGATAGTCTCTGCTTTTTCACATCCTCCCTGGTCTCTTCCTCTTGGTCTCCAAGTAGTGAGAGGCAAAGCTGATTTCAAGGTGAGCTAAAGGTTGTTTTTTCCTTGATCTCAACCTCTTAACCCAGTGTAGGTGAGTTTGGATGCCTCCTAGTCTGCCTTGTGCCTTAGTAGGTGTTTCTCAGCACACACAGGCAGAATACCTATTCATGTATAACGCATCCAAGACCCCAGGAAATGCAGCTGGCGTTTTTGAAAGAATTTGCCAGTTTTACAGAGCAAATGTCTGGCTCTGGTGATGTCAGTAGGAATTGTGCCACTAATTGCAGCAAAGCCAAGATTTTACCCATTCTATTATAATGTGCATCTCCAATCCCACAGCAGAAGTTCTCTGGGGCATGTTCAGATGAAAGAATGAATTTTTTCCTGACATTCTGGACAGTGGTCTTCTCCTGGGCAGAATTTGCTTAGTTCTGACAGACACCTAAGGGGGTTGGTGTTTGTTTAACACTTTTAGACTGTTTCATAGTTCATTTATTGTGCCAATAACACCACATTGTGTGGAACTGAACTGCAGCAAGGACTGGAGAAGGGATAGTTGTTCAGTGAGGAGACTAAGGAAGAGACAGAAGGGAGGTGGGGAGAAGATGGAAAAGCTTGGCATGAAACTGGGGAGCCTGATTGTGGGCCACTGAGGTTCAGAAGTAATTTAGCTAAGCAGATGACTGGGTGCCTAATTAGTTAATTATCCCACCAAACCACTATCTCCCCCCATTTGGAAGAAACCCTGTTACCATCCTCATGACCTCCAGGAAATGCACAAGATGCAAAGGATCAGCTGTTCCTTCATGACAGTCCTTTTAGCAAATTAGTGGGGAAAATTGTGCTTAGCAAATATTCATTAGGGTTTCATTTTCCATTAATCCAAAAAGAAATGTGGAGAGCCTGTGACTTCAATCACGCTGAGGCCCAGGAATTTTAATGAGCTTTAAATGGGCATCTGTCAGAATCCTGACTTTGCCGTACTTCTCCTGCCAGCCGGGAGGATGAGTAATGGCTAATAAAAGGTGGGAGCATCTAGGCGAACTCCTCTCCCTAACAGGAAAGGCAAAGTTATAATTTGCTGTGTTATGACACCATAATTATGCCCTGATGAAGAAAACTAGAGTATTAAAAAACCCTTTCCTTCCCCGCACTGTGCCCCAGACGTAAATGGGGGAAAGCTGGCTGAGTGACAGGTCACAGGGTTGCAGGCACATGGGCTGGGGAGAAGGAGGAAACCCTTTGTCCTTCTATCCTCTTACCCTTGCAGCAAGGAGCACACACAGTATCCACTTCATCTCAACCCCCTTGAGCAAAGCAGAGCTGGAGTTACCTTTCAAGGTCAGTGCAGAGCTGGGCAGCAACTGGAAGTCCCTTTGGAAATAAGAGCATGAAAAAGCCAGTCCGTGCCTCTTCAGACTACACCATTTTCTGCTAGTGAACACTGCAAGCAGTTGAAATGTTTGGGGTTTTTTTTAACAAAACTACTTGGACACACCTGTTCCCTTTTGACCTTGCTCAAGTACGACATTCTTAGAAATAAAAGTCACATTGGAAGGTTTCATTCTAAGCTATTTGACCAGAGGCAGATTCTCCCTCTTCTGCCCCAAAATACAGTTTCAACAGAGGGTCTCTGCTTCAACAAAACTGCATATTCCAACTAAAGACTCCTCTCTGGATATTTTTCCAAGCACCCTCTGTGAGTTTCTAAGTGCATATGTTACAGCACTGAGGCAAAAAAAGCAATTTCTCTTGTCTAGTAGTTTGTGTTTAAATCCATCTGCAATCTCTCTTGCAGAGCCCTCTAGAATGGGGCACATGGCCAAACTCTCCAGATTTGGGGGAGTCTTCAGGCTGAGCTGAGCTGAGGTGTTGAATGCAAAATTTTACAAAACAAAATAAGCCTGTGGGTTTGTAAATATCTTTCTACTTGTTATCACAGTTCTCACACAGATAAAAGAAAAATAAGGAAACTTCTGCATGCAGACATTGAGAAGAGGCAAAGGCTAGTGTGGGTCACCCAAAACTCTACAGATTAAATGAGATTATGAGGAGCAAAGAAAAATATGAACGACATTCTTTCATTCTCTTTATTCTTACTCCTCCGTTCCTCTCTTTCCATGGCCACATGTGCTGCTGCATTCCTCTGTCTCTAGATTTTATCCTGATGTCTGTCCTGGGAAGGTTAACGAAGCTAGCATAGCCTCCAGATGACTTTCTGAGTTCCTGGTCTTCTGCTTTATCCGTTCCTCTGAGAGTCTACAACTGCTTCCTAGAGGTGACCCCGCACCAGTCAGAGAGAGGGGATGTCAAAGTAAATCTCCACCATGTGTTTTCTCATATCCTACTTCTTTCCATTCATGGGTCTTCTTTTTCTCTTGATAGGACCAGAGGGCTGTAACCTGTTTATCTACCATCTGCCCCAGGAGTTTGGGGATGCTGAGCTGATGCAGATGTTCCTGCCTTTCGGTAATGTCATCTCCTCGAAAGTGTTTGTGGATCGGGCGACAAACCAAAGTAAATGCTTTGGTGGGTAAAGATAACAAAACAATTAGATTCATCCAGGAAAGGGCTTTCTCTGAATACTTTACCTTTCAAACCGCTTTCTTTCTGCTTAAGCTTTGATTTCTCTCAATTTACTCCTGTCGATACTTTCCCCCTTCCCTCTTTCTCTCCTAATTGTCTCATGCTCAGAGTTGTGTGCGCTGCTTAGAGGTGAAGGTTTAGCATATCACCAGTGGCAGGGTGCTGTAGCTGCTCAT